ACCATTCTGACTGATTCGAAGAGTTACGCACCATCGGCCCGACACAAGCCGCACATTGGAGCTCGTCCGACTTCACTGGTGAAACTGCCCAGCTGCAGTCCCATGCCCTGAGGCTGCCTGACCTTGCCCGCGACCGCTGCTCCGCACCGCGCGGAACCCAGACTCGGCGACTCCGAAGGGTGTGGGTTGCAAGGGGTGTGGTTTGCAACCGGCGCACTGGGGGGCACCCTGGGGGGCGGGCGGGGACCTCGACGGAGCTCTCCGCCGCGCCCCGAGGAGGCCCAGCGAGGACGGTGTCGTGCTCTCCGGGCCCCAGCGGTGCCGATCGCAAGCCGCACCCCGGCGTAAGCATACCCCTTGTACTCGCCGACGGGCATCCGAAGAGGATCTGCTGTTGCAATCCGCGGCCCCATCCTCCTCCTCCTCCTCCTCCTCCTCCTCCTCCTCCTCCTCCTCCTCCTCCTCCTCCTTCCTCCGCTCCGCCTCCTCCTCCTCCTCCTCCTCCTCCTCCTCCTCCTCCTCCTCCTCCTCCTCCTCCTCCTCCTCCTCCTCCTCCTCCAGCTCCCGACCGCTTCCCCGCCTCCCAAAGTCAACGCTCGATGGCCCTGCAGGGCCCGAGGCCGGCCCGCGGAGCCCGTAGTCCACGGAGAGCGCCGGGATCGAAATCAAAAAGAAAACTCGTCGTCGGAGATCTGGGAAGCCTTAGGTCGGGCGTGTCCCCCTACAGGCGGATTTGGGACGGAAAATAAAAAACAGCCCAAGAGAATTCAGAAATGGGCAAGAATGCTCCGAAAATCGTCCCCAGACCATTTCTGGACCATCCTGGAACATTCCTCCTGTGGAGGGACCTGCCCGACTCAAACCTGGGAAGCCCTCCCCCGCTCACCTCTGCGTAGCTGGTAAAATGGTCCGTCACATTGTGCTCCAGAATCCTGGTGCCCGTGTAGCCAGGCGACTGGTAGTACCTGCGGGGGGGCGAGGAGGAGGAGGAGGAAGAGGAGGAGGAAGAGGAGGAGGAGGAGGAGGAGGAGCATGAGAAGGAGCAGGAGCAGGAGCAGGAGGCGGAGGCGGAGGAGGAGGAGGAGGAGGAGGAGGAGGAGGAGGAGGAGGGGGAGGAGGAGGGAGAGGAGGAGGGTGAGGAGGAGGATGATGATGATGAGGAGGAGGAGGAGGAGGAAGAGGAGGAGGAGGAGGAGGCGGAGGAGGAGGAGGAAGAGGTACGACGCCGAAGGCACAGGCGGATCAGGAGCAGGAAGGCGCGCGAGCTCTCTCAGGAGCCACCCTGGCTCCAGAGAAGCTGCGTGAGGACACTGGACTCTGGCAACAGGTTGGGTCCTCCTTCACCTCCCACTCCTCCTCCTCCTGTTCCTGCTCCTCCTCCCTCCCCCCACTTCTCCTCTTTCCTCCCTCCTCGTTCCTCCCTCCGCCCTCCTCCCTGCTCCCTCCTCCCCCCTCCTCGTCATCCTCGTCCTCCACCTCCTCCTTGTCCTCCTACTCATCCTCCTTCCCTTGTCCTTATATTCACATACCTCCCCCATGTCGCACCACCGGACGTGTCGGCAGGGCGGGTAGGGTGTTTCGTCTGAGACTTCATCAGTGGCGACTCTGGAGCTTGAGTGTTGCAACAGCTTCATGGATGGAGAGGGATGGTCTTCAACGTGTGACTCTCTTCTGAGAGAGGCGCGCATCCGTGCTAAAGCTCGCACCACACTCGCAGGTGGAGGGGACACCGTTTTTTCAAAATGGATCACTCGCCCATGCGCCGCTCACAATCGTCTTGGGGCTCTGCGACTGCGGCAAATGTGGAGTGTCTCGCCTTCTCGCCGCGCACACTTGCCTCCCGCCTAACACAGCATCCAAACATGGATGGCGGATTATTTTCGACATGGGGTGTTCGCCGTAGCGCCGCGCACATTCGCCTCAAAAGCGTTGATCTGTTAAGGGGATGGCAGGGCGGCTCTTTTTCAACGTGGCGTGTTCGCTTAAGATCGCACGAAATCTAAAAGCCAGAATTCTGAGCGTGTGCGACAGCTGCATGGACGAAGGGCACGTCCATTTCAAACTTGGGCGTTTGCTTGAGGCTGGCTACTCAATGTTATATCGAAGGACCATCGAAGGACCATAAGTTTGAACTGATGCAACACGTATGCGGCTGGCTTTCAAAATCGACTTGTCGCTTGGTAGTTCTTCGACGCTCACTACAAGAAACGAACACCTGTGCAACAGCTCCACAACTGGCGGCGGTCCTGTTTCAAAATAGGGATCCCGCTGGGCACAACTTTCAAAGGAACAGCCATACGTTTTGTAGATGCCTTAACACTCGATGGAAAGATGCAGGGCAAGTCGTTCCTGATCGAAACAGGTCTTTCGCATGAATGGCACGCCCATTGGGTACTGATCGTTCAAAGCGGCTTTTCGAAAAGTGGACAGGAAGGCTTGTGGTGACTTTTGAGAAGGGGACTTAGATCGAAGGGGGGTATTGACTGTGGCGTAATTGATGCATCTTGGATGTACGCTGGTACTCCGCCTCCTCTTCCTCCGCCTCCTCCTTCGCCTCCGCCTCCGCCTCCTCATCCTCCTCCTCCTTCTCCTCCTCCCCTGAAATGTACCACCGCTTCGAACCTCCGACCCAGTTTCTCTTCTTGGAGCTGCCAACGCGAGACTATCCGATGGACGAAGGAAGGAGTAGGAGAACGGCGAATCGAGTGAGCGAGGGAACAAGGAAGATGCGGACGCGGAGGGGGGCGGGGAAGCGAATGAGGAGGATGAGGGGAAGAGAAGCAGGGGGAGACAACGAGAGACAGAGAAAGACAAAGAGAGAGAGATAAAGAGAGAGGGGGGGGGGGGGGGGGAAAAGACAAATGGGGCCTGTTCTTGAAGCCTGTGTTGACAACCTGGCCCTCGCCGCACCACGGGACTGAGGCTCTCGCCAGCAGCGCGGCAAGGCCGCTCGCCTGGGGCCGCCGCTTTGATCTGACAGGGACGATGATCGAGCGCAGAATGGTCGATCGAAGGCGAGCGCCAACAGCCCCGCGAAGCCTGGGCTGAGCCGTCCAGCCTCGCGCCCCACTCCTGCTCAACCTGCTTACTCCTCTTCCCTGCTCTCCCCCTTTCCCTCCTCCCTCCTCCTCCCCTCCTCCTGCTCCTCATGCTCGTCTTCCGCTCTCTTTCTCGCCTGCCCCTTCCTCTCCCCCCACTGTCCCTCTTCTCCCTCCTCCTCCTCCTCCTCCTCCTCCTCCTCCTCCTCCTCCTCCTCCTCCTCCTCCTCCTCCTCCTCCTCCTCTCCTCCTCCTCCTCATCATCATCATCATCACATCATCATCATCATCATCATCATCATCATCATCATCATCATCATCATCATCATCATCATCCTCTTCGTCCTCATCCTCCTCCTCTTCGTCCTCCTCCTTCCCCTCGTCATCCTTCTCCTCCTCCCCCCCTCTTCTGGCGCCAACCCGTATAAAAAGGCATGGGCCATTAGGTGTTTTTGGAAAGAAGAAAAAACGCTCCTGGCGTGTAGTCCGCGATGGCTGCCATCCTTCCTGGGGTGTCTGTCATCCCGCTGAAGAGCATCCGCCCGGCTCCCTCGGGCCACCCCGCACACACCCTGAAAAGGAAGTGCCGGGGGGCCGGGGGGGCTGCCCAGCATCGGCGACAATGGTGGTGGGGGCGCCCTCTTCTCGAACCTCACGCTTGCTGATCCGGCGGGGCTCGGGACTGGCTCGCCTGGGCTGTTCGCGGGCCCGGCAGCGCCCGTGGTGATGGGCCTTTCTGGCGCGCGGCTCCGCGACGTCGTGGTTCGACGTCCGCGCCGCCGGAAGCCAGACAAGAACCCTCGCCCTTCGCCCTCTCGGCGGTCGGCTTGGGCGGCCTTGGCGGCGCCCCTTCCCATGCGGGTGAGGCAGAGGGGCACGCCCACGACGGTCCCAACACCGGCCTTGAAGCAGGCCACCGTGCTGCAATTGTCCTTGTACCTCGTACAACGGGTGGCCTTGTGGACCTGATCGTGGCGGGCGCACGGGCAGGCGCTGGCGTTCGCGCCGTCGCCCGGGGTCGGTGCGTCCGAGGGACGACTGTCCCCATACAGGAGGGCGGCAGGCGAGTTGCCAGCTGCGCCCCAGTACCCTTCGGGGGCCAGCGGCCGCATCTCGCCGCGCTCCATCGCGCCCCCCGCTACGTCTTCGCAGAGGCGGGTCCTCCAGGCCGGCTTCCGACTCGGACGCCTGATCCAACATCTGGCTTACAGCACTGCCTGACGCGCTCGGGGCCCCGCCTGCTGTCGTTCGGCGGCGGCGGCGCCGGCGTCAAAGGCAGGAACCGCAGCACGAGGCCAGGGCCAGGGCGCATCGGAGACTCTAGCCGGCTCATCGCCAGAGGATGACGCAGGCTCGGCATAGTCGAAAGAACTGCGCGTGCGCCGCGAGGGCGACGAGCACCTCCGCGTCACCCACAGCGAGCTCGGCGCGATGGACCTCGCCCTTCTTTGGAGCCCTGGAAATGGGCACCAACACCAACACAGGGGGTTCGCCTCCACAGGGTGAAGGTGATCCTCGAATTCCGCGTTGGTGGTAATATTTCGGCCACCTTGAAAGCCAGAATATTACCACCATCACCGAGATCGGGATCTTCTTCCCTCGGTGGAGGCACGCCGCCGATATTGGTGTTGATGTCAACCTCGAGGCCTGCGACTTCTGGATCAGGCATCCAGCGCAGCGGTCGAAATGGATGCGGCGAGGCTCGAGCTTCTCCAGCTGTGCCCGAAGCTGGCGACTGCTAGCCCTTCTGATCGGGTCGAAGTCCACAGGAGCAGGGGAGCCTATAATCGAATGGATAAGTCGGATCGGCGACCGACATGAATCGGATCGGCGGGAAATGGGCGGCCGATTCGGGAAAAGTCGAATCGGCGGAAATCGGCAGGCTAGTAGGTCCCTATGGAGAAATCGGAGCCCAAATTAGAATCCGAAGCCGAATCGAATCGGAATCGGAAGCCATCGAAATCAAATCCAATCGAATCGAAATGAGCCCTGCAGGAGCCCCTTGCGGTCCACGCGCAGAACCTCGTCGAAGTTCAGGCGACGACGTGCGACCTGACCCTGGTGCCAGATCGGGAGGTCGTTGAACTTGCGCTTGGAGCCCCTGCCCTTGACCCGAGGGCGGAAATGCTCAGTCGTCGTGCCAGGCCCCGCTGCTTGGCCGCACCACTTGGCGGCCGTGGGCTGCGGCGGCGCCAGCGGCAGTAGCTCGTCCAGCTCTGCGTCGCCAGGCGCACGCCTGCGGGCGCACAGACAGAACACCCGGCTGACCGCCCACGAACCCAGCTGCAGGGCGCGAAGATGGCGCGGAGACTGTGCTCCACCAGGCGCGAGGATCCCCGTCGCGCTCAGCAGCCCGAGGAACGTCGCTGTGACGGTCCACGCGGCGCCGAAGAGGTAGACGCCCGCCTGGTCCACCGCGTACATGACCCAACCCCCCGTCGGAGCTGAGCCACCCGTGGTCCTCCCGAGTGGAAAACGCCGATGGGAAGCCCCCCATCGCCTCGAAAGCCCCGCCGCCGACATCCTCGGACATCCAGAAAGTCCAGTTGCCCTCGGATTTCCAACTTAGGACCCAGACGCCCCATCTCACGATCCAAGAGGTCTTAGATTCACGGGATCCTGGGCCTGTCTGGTTGAGCCCCCCACCCGGCGGCCCAGCTGGCGGAACAGTGTGCACGCCTGGCGGAGCATCGCCTGGGCCCTGGGGGGGCCCGCTATCGTCGCCGCAGTAGACGGAGTGCGCGTAGGGCTTTTCCAGCTGGGAGCGGACCAAGCGCATGCCTGGGAGGCTCCAGGCTGCGCCGCGGGGGAGGGCCCTCGCAAGCAGCCCAGCCGCCAGCCAGGCGCGCGGTGCCCGAGGCCGGGCGCCGCGCGGGGGTGCCTCGCGGCCAGCGTGGGCGAGGGCCGCGAGGCATCCCGCTGCCCGACCGCCCGGCCCCCTCGCTTGGGCAGCCGCCCTGCGGCTGGCGGGGGATGGCGCCGCCTGGCGCCCAGCTGCCAGCCCGCCCAGGCCACCGCGCCGCGCCCAGGCCTTTGGGCCACCTGAGGCCGGTCCCCAGCTTGGCCCAGAAAAGCTACGAGCCACGTACGTGGGTGAGGCAGGAGAGGGAGGCCCGCGCAGAACTGGGGGCCAGTGAATTCATGGAATTTGGGAGGGGGAGGGCGGAAGGACTGCAGCGCCTAGGAGAACAGTAGGAGTGCGAGCAGCAGCACGGGCGCTAGCAGCGTGACTTCGATGGGCAGTGCGGTTGCGAGCGGCAGCGCAAGTCTTACCAGCACGACTGGGACCAGCAGCGCGTCGGCGAGCGGTGTTATGGCGATCACATTGGGTGCAATACAACAGTCTGGTGTTGGGGGCTCTGTGCCACTTGGGGGGTGGGGACTTTGAGCCACGGGAGGACGGCGGCCTCTTGAAGTGCTTCTCCGGGGGAGTGGGAGCGAGGTGCTCGACGGGGGCGTGACGCAACGAGGTGGTGGCAGCTGCGGTGTGACTCCCCGCCTGTGGAACCCCCCTCTCTTTTTGCGTGGGCCCCCCTTGGCAGGGTTGGGAGGAGTCGGGGCCCGAGCCACCATAGGGCTCGGCAGCGGACTGAAGGCATCAGCCACCACAGGGCGATGTCCCCCGACCGCGCTGAAGGCCACCATGGGGCTTCCACCAGCGACCATGTGGCGCGAGGACGGATGCGAGGGGATTCGCACAACTCATTGGCCTCAACGGAATCAGCAGCACCACGGCGACCTGGAGAAACGTGACAACTGTCACAAACACGACTTGGGCCAGCACTGCGTCGTTGAGCAGCGCGGGCGCGAACGGCACAACCAGTTGGAACCAGCATCACCATTGTTACCACTGTTGCCAGCACGACTGGGGCTAGAAACGCGGCGCTGTGCAGCATGAATGCGCGTAGAAGTACGGGCGTTACCATCACGACCGGGGCAGCAGCAGCACGACGACGTGGAGCACACCAGCACGACTGGGACTGTGACTTGGGGGTGGGAACTCTGAACCACCGCGCGCGGGCGCGGCGGCGGCGCGGCGGTGGCACGGCGCGCGGGCGCCCCGCGGGGCGCGGCCGCTGCAGCGGGCGGCGGGGGTGGCCGTGCAGGCGAGTGCTGAACCCGATGTGCTCATCCGAGGTCCCCATGGGTGCCCCGAGGCGCCTGGAGGCCTCCACAGGCTCGAGAGCGCCAGGAGGGGCGGCCCGCTCACCCACCTTCCCACTGTAGAGTAGGTGCGAAGTCCCTGTTGGCGGGACGGGGTGGGCACTGAAAGGCACCATAGGCCTTTCAAACACCAAAGGTGGTGGGCGCCACAGTCCTATCGCAACCGACGGAGCTACACTATATGTCCTTCACCCTATATGACTCCATTCAACAGTCATTGTGCTCTTCAAACTGGTATTTCAGCCTCTCTCCCAACGCTTCTGCCAAACATCTTATCGGATGAGATCGGCCAGGTCGAAATGGGCCCTGAACACGACGACGACGACGACGACGACGACGACGACGACGACGACGACGACGACGACGACGACGACCCGCGACGAACGACGGCGACGACGACGACGACGACCCGCGACGAACGACGGCGACGACGACGACGACGACGACGACGACGACGACGACGACCCGCGACGGACAGCGGGGCCGCCTGGGTCGGCCTCGGCCACCGCGCGGCGCGGCCGCCGCGGGCGCCTGGGGCTCCGCGGGGCGGCATGTCCCTCGCGGGGCGGGTCGGCGCCGGGCCGGGCCGGGGGCTGGGGCCAGGTCGGGCGCGTCCCCCTGCAGGCGGATTTAGGACGAAAAGCAGAACAAAGAGTCCAAAGATGCTCAGCAATGGCCAAGCATATGCTTTGTGCATCGTCCCCTGACTATTTTGCGGCTATTTTTGAATGTTCCTTTGCCCGACTTCAGGCTGGGGCTCGCCGGGGCGGATCGGGCGCCAGCCGCACCGGGCGGACATCTTACTGGGGCCCCCCAGTCCGAGCAGATGGGGCCAAAGGGTCGCGCCGCATCGGCGATACATCGCCGGTGCACCTGCGATGCACCGGCGGCGTCGGCGATGAATCGGCGACGTCGGCGTGGAGAAAATAGGGCCCCACATCGAGTCTCGTCGCCGATGCAACGGCGATGCGGTGGCGGCGCGGTGCGATCCTCCGACCCCAACCGCTCTAACCCCCTTTGGAGGGACCTGCACTCTAGGACAAGTTATGGCAGGCTCGTGTCGTGGCGATCCTGGCGTTGGTTTATGACACCGCGCGGAACATCGTCATCATCATCATCATCATCATCATCATCATCATCATCATCATCATCATCATCATCATCATCATCATCATCATCATCATTATCATCATTACCATCATCATCTGCAGCAGCATCAGCATCATCAGCATCAGCATCAGCACCAGCATCATAATCATCAGCATCAGCATCAGCATCATCATCATCAGCATCAGCACAATTATCATAATCTTAATCACCATCATCATCATCATCATCATCATCATCATCATCATCATCATCATCATCATAATCATCATCATCTGCAGCAGCATCAGCAGCATCAGCAGCATCAGCATCAGCATCAGCACCAGCATCATCATCATCAGCATCAGCATCATCATCATCATCATCATCATCATCATCATCAGCATCAGCATCAGCATCATCATCATAATCTTAATCACCATCATCATCAGCAGCATCATCATCGTCAGCATCACCAGAATCATCATAATCATCATCTTCGTCCTCATCTTCGTCCTCATCATCATCATCATCATCATCATCATCATCGTCATCAGCATCATCATCATAATCATCATCACCATCATCAGCAGCATCCTCGTTAGCATCATCAACATCATCATCATCGTCACCATCATCATCATCAGTGTCATCCACGTCATCCTTATCATCATCTTCACCATCACCATCATCATCATCATCATCATCAGCATCATCATCATCATCGTCATCATTATCATCATCATCATCATCATCATCATCATCATCATCATAGTCCTCATCGTGACCATCATCATCACAATGAGCATCAGCATCAGCATCATCAGAATCCTCATCATCAGCAGCAGCATCGTCCTCATCACCATCGGCAGCAGCAGCATACTCACCACCGAAATATAACCATTCTGATCATCAGCAGCATCATCATCGTCAGCATCATCAGCATCACCTCCAACATCAATCGTCGGTCACTACCGTCATCATAATTATTTTCATCATCATCAGAATCATCAACCTCATCATCATCATCATCGTCATCATCAGCATCACCATCATCATCATCAGCATCAACATCATCAGCAGCATTACCATTATCAGCATCATCACCACCACCACCGCCTCCATCATCATCATCATCATCATCATCATCATCATCATCATCATCATCATCATCATCATCATGGTCATCATCATCAGCATCAGCATCAGCATCATAATTACCCTGGTCATCATCATCAACATCATCACCATCATCATGATCAACATCAACATCAACATATTAATCATGTTCATCATCATGTGCATCAACATCACTATGCGTATTGTCATGGTCGTCATCATCATCATGATCAGCGGCAGCATCATCATCATCAGCATCATCAGCATCATATTTAGCAGCATCATCATCATCATCATCGTCATTGCCATCGTCACCATCAACAGCAGTAGCATCAGCAGCAGCAGCAACAGCAGCAGCATCGTCCTCATCATCATCGGCAGCAACAGCATACTCACCAACAGCATCATCATCAGCAGCAGCATCATCAGCAATCATCATCTTCATCATCATCATCATCATCATCATCATCATCATCATCATCATCATCATCATCGTCATCATCACCACCATCATCGATCGTCGATCATCATCATCATCAGCACCAGCATCACCATCATCGATCATCACCATCATCGTCATCACCCTCATCATCCCCTTAGTCCTCATCATCCGTATCACGACTCCCCCAAGCCTGGAAACACAAGGTGTCACACGCGACGGCCCCCTGTGACCCTTCGAACAGTCGCCACCCAGAATGCTGGGCTGGCACGGCGGCAGGACCTGCCGCAGGCAGCTGGATATTCTGCATCACGCATACATATTTGACCAGATCGGGCACCTCGGATGCAACGGTTCGTGTAATCAAACACCGCGAGGGCACCCGTGGGGTAGTCAAAAACTGCGAGGGTACCTCTGGGATGGCTACACCCGGCCGCACACACACACACACACACACACCGACGGGAGTCAGCAACCGCAGGTCTCGACGCCTGCTCAACCCCGCGAGTCTCAGAAGGGCGGCTTGAGCTCCTGACTCGGACCCAGGCCCGAACACGGAGGAGGAGGAGGGCGAGGTGACCGCACAGTCAAAACACGCACAGAGCAAAGCAGACAGCAACACCACAAACCTGGCCATCGCTCGGACGTCCATCCCCTGTGCTTTCTGTCGGTTGCGTGCGTGGCTTTCTCGCCAAGTGATCAAAAGGATGCTCCT